ACACAGAAGCAGTACCACACACACACAAACAAGATCCAGTAACCCCCCACACACACACACACACACACACACACAAACAATTGCGTCATTGAACAGCCTTTTAGGTTATGGCCATCGATCTACGCAAAACATGTATTTCCCTTGCGAAACGCCCACGATTAAACATCCCAGACAGCATGCTAGATCTTGAATGAGTGAATCTTTGATGTCATGGAAATTAACCTTTGGCAGAATGCAGGGTCGCTCGGTCAACCTGCGCGGTCCCAGCTGTAAACATTCCAGAAAAAACGTGCTGCGGCAGGAACACCCCTAATGTCCCAATCCAAGCTCTAATGTTTTAAACTCAGCCCTAATGTCCGAAACCAACCCCTTATGTCCGAAACCAACCCCTTATGTCCGAAACCAAGCCATAATGTCCCAAACCAAGCTCTAATGTCTCAAACTCAGCCCTAATGTCCGAAACCAACCCCTTATGTCCGAAACCAAGCCATAATGTCCCAAACCAAGCTCTAATGTCTCAAACTCAGCCCTAATGTCCGAAACCAACCCCTTATGTCCGAAACCAACCCCTTCCGAAACCAAGCACTATATGTCCCAAACCAAGCTCTAATGTCTCAAACTCAGCCCTAATGTCCGAAACCAAGCCCTAATGTCCCAAACCCAGCCCCAATGTCCCAAACTCAGCCCTAATATCACAAACCAAGCCCTAATGTCCCGAACCAAGCCCTATAATTCTTCATGCATGCAACATTTGCCATTCACGTGGCTATGGTTAATTACACAAGAGTACTTATTCTTACCGAAATAACTGGCGTTCCTAACAAGACGGTTGAAATGCAGTTTATTAACTCTGCCTCTAAGACCCAGTTATATGATCTATATAATGTGGTGTAGAATTGACTGCTGCACCATAGGTTCAAATCCGACTAACTGCTCGTTCTGCTCTTGTCCCCACTTTCCTGTAAAATAAAGCAACACACAGTGCCTGTCAAAAGTTTGGTCACACTGAAACCGCTTTGGACATACTTTACCATGATAGGCAACCTTATCCAAACTGATTGGTACTGTATTATAGAAAGGATGTTAGTAGTTTACAATAATAAAAAAACTGTGCGAACAGAGTGACAAGGCAAAACACCCTTACGAGACATTCGGAATGTAAAACATCTCAAGTGATAATGGTTTTGCTAGACCATGTTTGAACCCGCTTAAACATGATGGACTTGCGTTTCGTTTTCTGATTTCACGCTAAATTGATAACAGGGATAAAAATCTGGGATTTCGAAAGACAATGTTCAATTTAAAATGAATGATGTGTGTAGCCATTGATTCCAGGAAGAATGAACTAAATACCGTCATATACCAAAAACTCGTAATTTCCCCATTACTTTTATACGTTTAGTGACCTTAACTTCGTATTGTTGTACGCCTGGTATATATTCCGCTGCATCTGTGACATCTGCAACCAATAAAATACAAACTTTGAGAATAATAAATGCGTCATCATGAGCTACTTCGTTTTCACCAATCAAATTCCAGATTGCCCTGTTTATAAAGACCAATAGTCTGAGTCATTGCTAAGGTTACATCTAGCGGAGTAAAAGCAGAATATTCCGTGTTGGAATTGCAAAGGTAGGAATGTTTATTGTAATTTGAACAACCAAACATGAAGCCAGACGGACATAGATCAAATTTACAGACATACGACGTCACACTTGGTTTATAACGAAAACGTGGAATAAATGCAAGGCCAGAATAGCATGTTAAAACACAAGGGAGAACATGTGTGTAAATCCTATCCTTTCATCTGAAGGCCATATGCTTCAGCCGCTGCCTTGCAAGACCATGAGCATCAAGGTACTGCCTGATTAAAATTCCAAAACAGTAAGTTAATTACAGAAATGTTCATCACTTCTTGAATGTGTTTACCAGCTCAACAGACACACACACACACCAGGAAATGGTATGGCCATGTTTCATAACACAATACCTATCACCGAAACAACTATTATACATATATGCACATTCTGCAGTTAAAATAAACACATCTTACAGAATATGCGTCTTATCTGTCAAGCTAGTAACTGTTCGAGCAGTGACTCAGACTTGGAAAGTGCTTGTGACGGTTCCTCAGCCTCAGCGCTCACACCATCGTGGCCTTGTACGTGTCAGTCTTTGAGTCCGTGCTCCCGTCTGATTGGTCGTGGGCGTTACGATGGGCCTGCGAGGTCTTCATCCGACTCTGGCACTGCCGGAGCTCAGACACGTACCCTTGGAAACTGAGGCTGAGCTCGGTTGCTTCTCCCTGGATGATGGTGACCTCTCCCGCCTTGTCCGCCTCCTCCAGGCAGACTCCGTCTATACCCGTCAGCTCCTGTACAGCTGGCTGAGAGCCGAGTGCCCCAAGACACGGCGCCCTCTTGTGGGTGGGGTCGACAGCACATGCTCTCATTTTTCTTTCTGGGTAAGGAAGACATGGAAGATTTAGAAATTGGGAGGGATGTGCCGTTGTTTTGAATCTATAGTGATCGACAGAGGTATTAGAATGAAAATGAACTACTTTACAACAGAGATGGCCTCAGCTGTTCTTATGGAGTACCCAGACACCATAATATGATCTATGCAGGCTTTCTTTTTGGCTCCACATTCGAATATTCACAACAATTGGAAACATTGAGGGTGACTACTAAAGCCTCAAAAGACTACAGTCAACAATGACTGACTTGACAGCATGACTTCCCTCTGTGAACTGTACAAAATGTGTCAGCGGATCTGATCATTGATTCACTGATCTGTTACCATTGTTTAATACAGAGTTATTGTAGGGTCGCAGAGAGTCATTTGTCTTGACATATGCCCTTTTATTAGGTGCTGTTTCATCCAGACATTGAGTCAGGAAACTTAGTCACAGCCTTTCAAGGGCTTATTTATCACGCGTATGTTGAACCAAGCTCAGGGCCCAATAACCAAAGACATATCACAATGTTCTGCTTGGATTGGAAAGAGCAAGGTCAAATATTGTAACTTTTTTCGCATTAGGTCCACGCATAAACAAAAAATACTGTGCACACACACACACACACACACACCAAACAAAATGACCTTCCACTGACACTCCAGAAAATAACTAAGTGACTTTTAGTTATTCCCTTTTAGTGTATTTGAAGATTGTACTTCATTTACATCTGTTGTTTTAATACCTTTTATTATTAATTGAAGACAGTTGAGAACTATTTCTAGTTTTCATCGGTGTATTGGAAAATGGTGTTTCATTTCTAAACAGCGCCCATGCTGGACTTGTCAATGTACACTGAAGGAAATGCTGATCCCTGGCCAGCGCTCAGGCCAGCGCTCAGGCCAGACGGCCCGTGGGCAAAAGACTGTAGAACTCGAGATGACAGGTTACCTGTTTGGTGAAGAGGTAAAAATAGAGTTGCCCTTCAAAAAAGGCATGAAGACAGCAACCTTCCAATTCAGTGGGATTACAGTTGTTTGTGATATGAGGTCTAACACGCAGGCGACAGGGACTGAGATATGCGTTTCAGCCTGACAGCCTCCAGTCACACGGCGTTAATAAGCCTCGTGTAAGGGTCCAGATTATTATTCCACTGAATAATCAGCCCTGACAAAGTGACAATTCCCCTCGTTACAGTTACATCTTTGCCAGTAGTGAGTAAGTTCTCATATTTTGAGTGCTGTATGCAGCTAATATACATATTTAAAGTGAGATTTTCGGGGGGGGGGTTGTGAGGAGTTTTTAAAGTAGTGCATAGGCCCATTTAGGCCACTGTACAGGTGACAAGAAGGTTAAATGGCCAATTCCACTGCCCTCCAAGAGCCACTGGGGCTGATCAAGGAGCTTGATTGAAACACTGGCAGTGTTTGCAGTTATCTGCCGCTGCTGGCTTCATGGTCACTGCTAAACAGAACAGAGTCAAGGTGAGCCTTGGTTCAATTAGTTATTAAAATGATGAGGTAGAATTACTAAAATAGCCAATACAGAAGGGAGAAAGATGCACTATAATACGCCTTTCACTGGACGTTTACAACTGATGTTGACAGATCACTTTTATTTGTAACATCCTCTACATATTTCCACAGACGGAGAGAGAAGCTAATGCTATTTAGCATCCCCTGCCACATCAGAGGAGAGGGCCCGGTATAAACAAACTTTATAATAGTGAGAGCTCCCGAATCGAGAAAGGTCAATGCTGGGTTAGTTATGACTCCAATGGGTGGTGATCATTTGCCTTGTCCCTTCTGTATTGAGCGGTCCTCAGCTTTAAACAGGAGGCCTGAGTGACTCAAACACTCCAACACAAACTCCTACGTCTCTGATTCACAGTCAAAGCAGTGTTGTATACAGCCTCTGGTATGTATCCATCGTCCAGCTAAACACACACACCCAGAGAGCATCTTCTGTATGTGTTATCCTACCGAACAAGTTGACGTGTTCAATGTTGTCTCAAGAAGCTACTTCATTTAACCGCTGAACGTAAACTGATATGGTATGCTGATGATCGTTACAATAATTACAGAGATACTTCTAAGGAGGACGTGTCAGGTAGCCTAGCTGTTAGCACATCCAGCCAATAACCCAAAGGTTGCTGGGTCAAGTCCCTGAGCGACACTGTGTAAATGCCGTTGTTCTGTTGCTCAGCAAGGCAGTTTTATTTATTTTTATTTATCCTTTAATTTACCAGGTATGCCAATTGAGAACAACGGCGACCTGGCAACTAGAATTTTCCAGCTATGAACTTCCCCAAAAGAGCTAATTAAGCAATTTAATTGGTTTAATATAAACACATTTCTTTAGGTAATGTGATGCCTATTATTTATTTTACCCTGTTTTTTCCCCTCCCATAAGCACAGTCTACAGACTATACTGGCTGTACTGCACACGCTCGCTCAACCAGGAAGTTTTTGTGCATGGTTTATTTACCCTTTATTTAACCAGGTAGGCCGATTGAGAACAATTTTTCATTTGCAACAGCAACCTGGGGGGAAGCTGTGGATTGAACCCAGGACATCATACATACTAAGCAAGCACTCTACCACGGAGCTACACCAACTCCTCCAGTTGCGCCTGCCAGAACTGTGCACTGGAAGGATTATGCATTCCCTGGTCGCCAACAACAACTGTTGTTGAGAGTGCAGTTGCCTAGCCAACCAGAAGGAGTACAGAACAGTACCTAGCAACTGGTACCACCATACTGGGCTGCCGAGGACTGGCGTTAAAGTAGACCTGTTTGGTTTGATGGCTAACTTGAGACGTCTGGCGGTTGTTGAGGTGTCTTCCCCTTTAATAGATCAGTAGACTTGTCCCAGACATATCATCTCTCCCCATGGCCAGTTTGGAACAGCACCAACAACCAAGGCTGGCTGAGATCAGCCAAATGCTCCTGCCAGATGATATGGTTAATTCAGAGTTAGCTATGTTGACACTTCAGGTGTACCAGCCAGTCAGACATAGGAGAGAGTAAGGCTGGGTGTTTGTAAAAGCACTTTGTGACAACTGCTGATGTAAAACAGGCTTCCCAAAATGAACTTGATTGATTTGATTAAAGATTTTCAGAAGGAGCTCTGAGACAGAATGTTTAATATTTTCTGGGTATTCGATTATTAACCATGTTGTGACCACTACTAAGCCTCTAGCCCTGTGCCAGTGTGGCTGACTTGAAAATGTAATTGTTAGTTGTTTTAAATTCTGGATATAGGGAGAGATATCAGTTATATTTATTCAAAAGCTTATGTGACCGACCAGTAATATCCTGGAGCTTTAGAATCATAACCATTCACAATAAACCTGAAAATATGAAATGGGCCAAAATGTTATTTTTTGCTATGATTACAGAACTAAAAGGTTTTCAACGCATGCACAATGTCCCTCCACGGTTGCAGAGACCTAGTTTAGCTATAAACTGTTGCCCTCTAGTGGTCAAAACAATGCATTAAAGAAAAAATGACCAATACATGCTTTGCTGAGCTGCTCAGGATACAAAGGAAAAACATAATAAAGAAAGCTTTTTATAATATACGAGATGGGAATTATAGGCAGAAAAATAAGTGATCTCATTATTTCGTTTAGATATTTAAATTGTAAAGTGTTACCTGCTATGACATGCAGACATGTTTTGTAATATTGTTTTAGTAATCAAGGACTGAACTTGAATATTGAATCAAAGTTGACCCTAGATGTTCTGTCCAACTGCAAGACTGTTTGTTACAGATTTACTTTGACAAGTCTGGTAATTATACAAAACGAATAATGAATAAAACAATACTAACTATTAAATTGAAGAAAATGCAATGGTGAAAAAGGATAGACTACTTTGACAGTGATCTTATTTCCATTTTAGTCCCCAATAATTAATATTTAATATATGCGCACATTCAAAAAAAGTCCTAGTTCGTTTAAAAGAGGGTTGTATAAACATTTGTACAGAAAATATACAGAAGGAAATAACAGTAACTATGGCTGCTAATAATCTGTCTCCTTATTGGTGAACCATTTGATTTGTTATAGTTATAATGACTTTGGCCTCTGTTAACTTGTGCATAAGACTCACCAGCAGGGGGCAGACGCAGAGAGAGGCGCTGAAGAACAAACCTGATATATTTCAATTCCAATCATCTCATGATCGACGGACACAACAGACCTTCGATTGACTGAAGTGATTGTGATATGTGTGTAAGTAGAAGATACAACGTGGCGCTGTATTCATCCGTGCACGCGCACCGGCTGATGAACGCGAACGAGCGTGAACATTCCACCAGGCACGTTTATAGTAGAGCAGCACGGAAATGCAAGCGTGCACAACAATAAATAAATGCAATAAATGACAAGCATGTTCAAACAGGGACATGTTGTTTAGCACTGTAGCAGCCATGAGATGAGATAGAAGAGAGTGAAGGCAAGAAATTGAGACCGAGAGAGAGAGTGTGTGGGAGAGCGAGAGAGAAGAATCAGACAACAAACAAACACCCACAATAATATTAACATCTCTACAGCAGCGCGGTGAACTGGAGGAAAGTATAGAGTCGTTACCAAGGTTTCCAACATAGCAACCAGAACATAGGGGCACAGATAAACCCCGCAAGGCTCATTCCACCCACTCGCATCTTCTTGTGTACACACATCACCATCACCTTATATATTGACAGAGCAATTGAGGAAAAAAAGACAGGGCTAGACTCACTGTCGCCTCCGCTTGAGCTACAGGCAACAGTGCAAAATGTAATGTGTGGTCTGTTTCAACACTTACAGAGTTTGATTGAGCTCTGGATGGTTGCATCTGGGGACTGCACAGATTGTGTGCACTGTGGGGGATGTTTAATTGACTCCCTTTGCATATTAACGTAAAACATGTTTTCCTATTATTGTTATATTATATTTCAAATGTAATTATGTATTTTTCTAATGTAAGATATTGCCTTGCAAAAGTATTCTATCCCCTGACAATAATATGCATCACAATATACTCTGTATTAAAATTATCTGTTTACTTAGACAGATCTACACTGAGACAGATCTACACTGAGACAGATCGACAATTACACTGATCTAGACTGAAACAGATCTACACTAAGACAGATGTACACTGAGACAGATCGACAATTACACTGATCTAGACTGAAACAGATCTACACTAAGACAGATGTACACTGAGACAGATCTACACTGACACAGATCTACACTGATCAACACTGAGACAGATCTACACTGATCTACACTGAAACTGATCAACACTGAAACATATCTACACTGAAACATATCTACACTGAAACAGATCTACACTGAAACAGATCTACACTGAGACAGATCTACACTGAGACAAATCTACAATGAAACAGATCTACTCTGAGCATCTAGCAAGCACAATGCTTTAGCTAAGAATCTTATTTTGCTAACTTTCCAGAAAGTCCCAGAATTTCCAGATATCGTGGTTGAAGGATTCCAAGGAATGGAGCTACGGCCGTGAGTTATGAAAAACAACTCCATTGAAAAGACAGACGACAGCAACACAGACAAAACACAATTACACAAAACACTAATGAATAGTATAGTTGCCAAAGATACAAAGACACATCATGCTCTCCCGGAAGAAGGTTTTTTGACGAGGCTAGGATTACCCGACACCACAACACTGATTGGTCAGAAGTTCACAGAACAAAGAAGATGCCATGCAACCACAAGTCAGAGAGAAGGCAATGGGAGACCAACTAGATGAGAGAGATGTAGCTACAGGAAAGAGATGGCAGGGCGGAGCGGTAAATAATCACAAACATGTGAAAAGACAGACTGTGATTTCAGGTCTAACATTTATTAGATCTAGTTAAACACAGATACAGAATTAATTGACATGATTAACAGGTTTCTACCAAGAGACAGGGTGATTCCACACAGTGTGTGACATGCAATTCAACAATGACACTATCATTTGAAACCATCAATAAGTTATCATAATATTGTAAAGAAACATTCAGCTTTCCTTCTGTATAATTCCAGATTAAATGTAATGTGGAAGTATAGTAGTGTATAAATCCAGATGAAATGTAATGTGGAAGTATTGTAGTGTATAAATCCAGATGAAATGTAATGTGGATGTATAGGAGTGTAAAACTCTGGATGAAATGTAATGTGGACGTATAGGAGTGTATAAATCCAGATTAACTGTAATGTGGAAGTATAGGAGTGTATAAATCCAGATGAAATGTAATGTGGAAATTTAGGAGTGTATAAATCCAGATGAAATGTAATGTAGGAGTGTATAAATCCAGATTAAATGTAATGTGGAAGTATAGGAGTGTATAAATCCAGATGAAATGTAATGTGGAAGTTTAGGAGTGTATAAATCCAGATTAACTGTAATGTGGAAGTTTAGGAGTGTATAAATCCAGATGAAATGTAATGTAATCCAGATTAAATGTAATGTGGAAGTATAGGAGTGTATAAATCCAGATGAAATGTAATGTGGAAGTTTACGAGTGTATAAATCCAGATGAAATGTAATGTGGAAGTTTAGGAGTGTATAAATCCAGATGAAATGTAATGTGTAAGTGTATAAATCCAGATGAAATGTAATGTGGAAGTATAGGAGTGTATAAATCCAGATGAAATGTAATGTGGAAGTTTAGGAGTGTATAAATCCAGATTAACTGTAATGTGGAAGTTTAGGAGTGTATAAATCCAGATGAAATGTAATGTAATCCAGATTAAATGTAATGTGGAAGTATAGGAGTGTATAAATCCAGATGAAATGTAATGTGGAAGTTTACGAGTGTATAAATCCAGATGAAATGTAATGTGGAAGTTTAGGAGTGTATAAATCCAGATGAAATGTAATGTGTAAGTGTATAAATCCAGATGAAATGTAATGTGGAAGTATAGGAGTGTATAAATCCAGATGAACTGTAATGTGGATGTTTAGTAGTGTATATGTTAATATCATTCAGGTATCTACATTGTTGAATTGCATTGCATTAAGGGATGAAATGGAAGGAAATCAGCTTTTTGATTCAAAAACAAATAATTCAAAATACAGGTACAACCAATCATGGTCATCTTTTTAAATAACAATTTCACAACTTTTTGGTTACTGTTCATGTTGTCTGTAGCCAGGTACTCATTTAAATCAATTAACCAAACATCTGACATGTGTGTGGTATTTCATGCTGAAAATATAAAGTGTGTGTATTTGAGATTGATTGTAAAGACAACGTTAATCGTTACAGGTGTTGTGATGGATTTTTGGCACTGTGACCCTTTATCTAATTACCCCAAATACACTTGTGGAGTTGGAAGGATAGCATATAAATCTATGGAATTAGCTGACAGAGTAACCGATCCACAAGTTCATCTGACCCTGGGGAGGTAGAGTAACGGCCAGATCCCAGAGTATTCCATTTAATCATTTCATGTAGGTATGATGAACACATTTTTAGGAGTTTTTTCTCATGTACTACAATACATATTGCATCCTGTGTCGTACAACAATAGGAAACATAGATCAATTACTTGGTAAAACCCCCATCAGTTCAGTGGTGCACGAATGTAAATGTCATTCATTTC